CCACCGTGCTCGCCATTTTCACGCCATAGTCGTTGAGCATATGCGTGGCATCCGTGTTGATGGCAACACCAGCCTGCACAGAGGAAACATCGAGTCGCCGAGTCGGCGTTCAAATAGTATCATGAGGAAGACGCTCACAAGACGGATGCGAAAATACGCCGTGTCAACCTTTCAAGAGCAGTACTTGCATGGAATACAACATCTATCTCATTCAACCCTCACGCGCATGTGCTGTTGCTGTTGTCTCACCTTGATGATGCTGGGGTCCTCGAGAAGAGCCTTCAGGGGAGCGGGAAATGTTTCCTTCGTAAAACCAGAGCTCCCTCTCTGCAGGTGGAAGAGGAACGACGGCCCCCTCAAAGCCGCAATCTGGAAGGTCGCTACAGGTTTCCACCCACGAGGTGAAAACTGCCACTCTGCGTCCGGTCCGCACATCATCTTTCCCTCCACTCGATTTTGGCTGATGCTCTGACGGAGGGAGCCGCAGGCAGCGGCTACCGCCTCCGGGTCGTACACGATGGCAGGGGTGAACTCCATATCCAGCTGTGGCAGGAGCTCCAACTGAACTCCGGCGTCCACCTCGTCTTCCAGATAAAGACTGATCCCCGTTACCTCCTCGAACTCGCGTATTATGCGTTGCAGCAGTTGAAGGTCATCACAGCAGTCATCAAACAAAGTCAAGCGTCACGCAACGGGGCCGGAAAGGATTGAGGAGACAATACTGCAAAGTCACTGCGAAAATAGCAGGCCTGACACCGGTCTACGACCTCGAAAAGCGAAGCGAGTCTACAATCATTTCGCAAATTACCTGTGTTCCACAGAGTAGGAACCTTGAAGCCATTGCGAACGAATCGCACGAAAAAAAGCTTCAACTCCTCCGCCAGCTCGCTCAAATCACCGGTCTTTATCGGACGCTGCCCGACCACCTTCAAATAAGAACACACATGTGTAACAACGAAATGTTTTTCGGGTCATCAGAATGAGCGCACCATACTACGAGAATAACTTTCCAGTGATTGCTCCAGAAAGCATGGCACCAACACGAAGGGTTTGGGGATGGTTGAACGAAGCAGAGACAGGAGAATTGTTCACCTGCTTACATTCGTTGAAGACTGTGAAGAAGCCGTACACTGGTCTTGTGCGCTCCTCGCCCGCTTTTGCCCGGAGCCGGATGATCTTCGCAAACTTAAACGAAGCATCCCCACCCAGAATGTCTCCGTCCCAGCGCTGCATCAAGCGGTGGTGATACTCCTCCAGGGTCCAATCCACGCTTTCCACCTCCAGCACGGGGGGTTTCGAGAAATACAACCGCCTCACGTCCCGCAAATAGTGCTCCGACGGGACCGCACCGCTGTACTCTGTCGAGTCATCAAAGCTGCCGAACCTTTCCGGAGTTTTGGCGAGGTTGGCCGAGCGGAAGATGCCCGAGCTGGTCCGCCGGGTGTTGACCAGAGAGGTGTACTTCAGCTGGTCCACCATGAACTTGGTCGTATGCGCCTGCAACAGCATTGCGAGGGCGACACAATTTCGTTGTAGCACGGGTCGGCATTTATGAGATCCGACATTTCCCGCAGCAACGTTTGCGGTACTATCCGCAAATGTTTTGAACAGGCTAGGAAAGCCAAGACCAGACCAACCCGTTATCTTAAGACGCTGCAGATGAGACACTGCATATTCACCTGACGAATGTTCTTGGCAGCAGCGGAGAAGCCCTTCCCATGCACCAAATCATCTGCAAGCCGGTCCACCATGCAAATCTCAATGCCCGACCGCTTGGTGAGAAGGAAAGGGAACTCCTTGGAGATGTACTCCGGGAGACGCCGGAGGCACCCAGCACCCCACGCGTTGAAGCTCGTCTTGCGCTTTTCCGCCTCCTGCTTGCCTTTATTGAACTCCGCGCACTTCGCACACTTGTACCTGCACGTGCATGGGAGAAAATATACACCACGAGCAATATCGTCGGAAAACCACAACACGAACTCCAATCTACCAGAAACCCAGAATTCGTCGGATGCCACGAAAACATGACTGATGAAGTTTATCGAGCGAACACTCTTCTTCGCATGCTGAACTTACCGAAACCCCATCACGTACGCCACGTCGTGATCCATGAACACCCGGCGTGGCCCCTTAGGGTTCCAGCCATCAGGTGCGCCCTTGCCCCCACATCCTGGACAAGGAACTGCCTAGAGCTCTGGGAACAAGAACTCCGGTATCCATACCAAAATACCAATACCGACTTCTGATAAAACCGGTCGAGTTTCGGTAGGTCTGGGCGCGCGTAAATGTGAGGTAGATATG